TATCATTTACTTGCAGTGTTGAAAATAACATTAAACCCAGAATGCAAGTTTTAGAAATTTTGGAGAGTAAGAATTTGATTGGAAAGTTTCCTAGTCTTTCAACTATTACTACAATCCCAGATAGCAAGTTTGTGGACAAATTTGTTCAGCCTTATTTAAGTGAAGTCGGAGAAGTATATATGGCAAATAATGCACTCAACAGAAAAAGAATTGTTGAGTCAAAATGATTGTAGACGCCTATATATATATATATATATCACACTATGTTTCAAACTTGGGTAAATGAGGATGCTTGTGTAAATGGCGGCCAATTGGTCATTAAATGTCACTGGGGCATCTGGAGCCAGTGAAATATATATAGCTGACCTCAAATTTATTTTGATGGTTGATGGTGTGATGGCTTATGGAATCTGGTTAAAAGTGAATAGGTACTTAGCCTATTCACATTTTCCTTGTATTTATTTTGTATTCCTGGTTTTCAATGGATGGTTTCAAATGAATTATGCCATCCTTCTCGAGCCCATTTGAAGTAAGATATCATCGCATATATAATGCTACTATTAACAACTATTTTGTATGGATACTTTTTTTTATTTGTCGTCTTTACACTTGTGCAAATGCACATAAAAGAATCTCTTGTCTCTTGGCTTCCTTCCTTTGCCATACATTAGGTGATTCGATTGGGTCAAACAAAAGTAGAAGCAAGAACTCTGCCGTGAGACTGAACTTTAGCTAGCAAAGGCTGATTCTTCAGTGTTTTGTACAGACAATTTGGAGTACTGAAATTTCTATTTCGTACAAGTATAAAAACCAAGAAAATAAGAAATCTTCCTAAAAGTTAAAAATAGGGTCATCGGTCAAAATCTTTGTTTTGGGGGAGCCTCAACACTGATGGTTTCTTTAAAATATCCTCAAATCTTGCTGCTGGGGGAGCCACGGAGGGGTAATTAGAGAGCATGAGGGGCATATGTTGCTGACTTTCTATGAATTAAGGATCATGCTATGTACTGGGGGCAGAGATAAGGTCAATATGCACTTGGCTGCAATTGTGCAAAGAACAGAGTTACGGCAAAACATGGCTGCAATTTGCATTTTGGGCTTCATCTATTTTTCAATTTGTCATTTCTCATGAAAGGTAAGCTTTGGTCTAGCTTTTATGCATTTCTTTTTGTTTTGTTTTGTTTTGTATTCTACTCAAGTTTTGAGTTTTTGAGTTGAACATCATTTTCTGCAATTTTTCAGATGAAATGGATTCCTTAGGTTCTGCGACAAATTCAGGGCCCAACAAATGATAATGGTTTGATCATTTTGTAGTGCCAAGGAAGGCAATTTCTACTTGAATTTTTAACTATTAGACATTGCAAATTGTATTATTCATTCTTGATGCAGAAAATTAATGAACACAGCCATAAATGGGGATCTCTAATTCAGCGATGAGCCACAAAATACAAAGAATCCGCCACATTAGCCCACCAATGGCACTGAAAATCCTGAAGCATCTTTCCAATGATGCTATGATTCGGCTTTAATATACTAGGTTTTAGTAGAAATGTTGGTTTGATCTATTGTTTAGTTTTATTATGTTGGTATTGGTTTCATTAGTATTCAACTGGCGTTGATGAAACATGTCACCGTTTTATATAAGGGCTTAACAATTTGTTGTTTAAATTTTCAGCATATTTTTATGGAATTGTATTAAATGAGAGGACGGGCACAGAAAAAATTGACTCCACTTGCACATGATTTACAAAATGTGTTTGTTTATATTGGGTAAATTTTTAATGTTAGTTTTGGGTGGAGCATATATACTCCATCCGTTCCATAAAAATATGCTTGCTTTCTTATTCATTTGTTCCAAATTATGTCATTTTTTTTTTCTTACTTTTTTTTTCCTTATATTAAAAAATGGTTTAAATATGTGTAGTTCATATTTGCTGATAACAAGGCACATTAAATAGGAATATATTAGAAAGTTAAAAAATCATCATCTCTTAAACAAAGAAAGTGGCCTATAATGTGAGACAGACGAAAAAAGAAAGCAAGGTTATCTTTATAGGACGGAGTAAGTACTTAATTTTTTAATATATTCCTATTTAATGTGTTTTATTATCAATAAAATTGAATTATTCTTATTTAAACAATTATTTAATATACAGATATATTAGGAAAATGTGAATAGAATTTATACTTTCAACTATATTGATTACATTTTTTTAAACTGTGTGAAAATAGAAGCAAACATATCTTTATGAGATGGGAACAAATAATTGATGAATTTTTGTATTTTTTGTATTTTTGCTTCTTTAAAAGTATCTAAAGGCAAATAATTTTATTATCCTTAAATGATTTTTTGGATGGAAAACGTTATCAAAATCAAGACGTTCCCAAGTTGAGAATATAAGTGTGATAATGAACAAAGATTAAAAAGTTTCAAAAACAATTAAAATATGGTGTAAAAAAATTATGATGTGATTCTAATTATTCTTAGGACTCTTGTCATATAATAGTAGATTGGAGACCTTTTAAACTTGAAACATTTTATGGAAGTTTTTTAACGAGAAACTAATATTGACTTAGCTCTCTAACCAAATCCCCTTTTAAATTGGACCTATCATATTTAAGAGCAAACTTTATTTGTCAACTATCATATGTGATCCTACTTTGAGGACCCTACTCCCTTGATGATCTTACTCTATACTTGGAGTTGAAAACTCTTATGGTTTGAGACTTCTATAAGAAGACCTAGACTCCCTCTTTATCTAATAATACCACTCATGTTTTCACTAACTGAAATACATGTCTTAGCTCCCATTTCTAAAGGGAATATGAAAAGCAACCAAGGCCATCGGCTCAATATTCCTTTTTGAAGTAGTGTGAATTGCATTTATCTCACACTAGGACATTTAGCAGAATGCTTGGCCTCCTACGTTGGAAGAAACACTCGAATAGTTAACTTTAGGCTATCGCTTCTAGTACTAGATAATAGGTATTAGACATTATGGGTTAGGAAGAGGCAAGCAAATGAAGATAGACATTAAGGGCCAACTAGAAGAAGCAAATCCTAGAAGACTTGACGAGTTACTTATAGAATGCCGACTACTATCTTTGATTTTAATTACCTTCATATATAGTTATCAACTAGAGTCAAAATCAATAAACTTTCTGCTTTGAATATTCCTCAAGGAGCATGTTTTTCAATAATATTAGCCTTTATTACCTTGTTGATAACATAAAAGATGTACAAAAATGCAACCACCAACTAGAAGGCTATTACATTGTTAAAATACAGTCGAGATTGACTACTTTATGGTCGAGAATGTTATATATAGTTGCGATTGACTACTCTAGAGTCGAAAAACATTAACGGGAGATAATTGAAGATCATCTCATAGGGGCGGATGGGGGGAGGGGACTGCCCATGCCTATATCCAAAATAGTGTAATAGATTCCCCAGTGAAAGACAAAACTAGTCAATTAGCCCACCATCACTTAGCTAGGCCTAGTACAATCTTAAAATAACTTCTTTTTTGTTTGTGGAAATTACACCACATAACCACTTAAATAAACATTTTCTATATTTACAAATTAAAAGATATATATTTCTAACATTACTGAAAAATAATACTCCATTCGTCCCATTTGCTGGTTTTGTTTTTCACAAGGATTAAAAAAAATTATTTAATATTATTGAAAAAGCAATTTTTGCGAAAAACCTTCTTAATTTACTCTTATTTAAGTATCAACAACTATTAGTAAATTATTGTTGAAAGTAGTAAATAAATTGAATGATTTAATTTTCAAGAAGTATGTATCTCTGTATTTGTACAATTTCAAGATTGAATAGGGGGAAATGGTTATAATTAGGTAAATCAAATAATGGTATATTAGTAAACCAACAAAACAAAACATTTCCAATAAAGAAATGTGACTATATAATTGGGACCAGAAAATAAAGAAAGTCAACTTATATAAATGGGATGGAGGGGATAGTATTTGTAATAAATTTAAAATCACTTCACTCCATAATTTACTTTCTATTTTAAAAATATTAATTAAGCACATATGAATTGAGGGATTTGGGGATGGATCCTATTTTTGTAGTCAGGGTTTCGAATGTCGAGATTAAGGGATCTCGGGATGGAGTTTCAAACAATTGATTTGGGATTTCTTGATTTCACATTTCTAGTTTGTGTTCTATGGAAATAGATGCATTTAAGAGTTAAAATTTGGTCAAGGCATGTTTGGCTGTGTGACGTGGCTCTGATATGGCAAAACATTTAATATTTAGAAGGAGATAAGAAGCAAGCTTAGATTTATATCCTCCATGTCAGCATTAACTGAGATGGAATTGACCAAGTGTGTAATGGAGAATAACGGATCAAAGTTCGGTGGGCAATGGGTTGATTTGGGTAAACCATGACATATTGTAAAGTTCGATGGGCAATGAAACATTTAAGTGGAAATTACACAATCCCCTACATTTGAAGATTCAATTTCTAAAATCAGATTTGATGTTTTAAGTTTCGAAAATCAGATATTTTAATGTATAGATATAAATTTTTTATATTTAATTAAATATTAATAATAATATTATAAAAATTAAGATATATACACCCACACCCACCCCCCCCCCCCCCCCCCCCCCNACTACTTTATGGTCGAGAATGTTATATATAGTTGCGATTGACTACTCTAGAGTCGAAAAACATTAACGGGAGATAATTGAAGATCATCTCATAGGGGCGGATGGGGGGAGGGGACTGCCCATGCCTATATACAAAATAGTGTAATAGATTCCCCAGTGAAAGACAAAACTAGTCAATTAGCCCACCATCACTTAGCTAGGCCTAGTACAATCTTAAAATTTCTTTTTTGTTTGTGGAAATTACACCACATAACCACTTAAATAAACATTTTCTATATTTACAAATTAAAAGATATATATTTCTAACATTACTGAAAAATAATACTCCCTTCGTCCCATTTGCTGGTTTTGTTTTTCACAAGGATTAAAAAAACTTATTTAATATTATTGAAAAAGTAATTTTTGCCAAAAACCTTCTTAATTTACTCTTATTTATGTGTCAACAACTATTAGTAAATTATTGTTGAAAGTAGTAAATAAATTGAATGATTTCATTTTCAAGAAGTATGTATCTTTATATTTGTACAATTTCAAGATTGAATAGGGGGAAATGGTTATAATTAGGTAAATCAAATAATGGTATATTAGTAAACGAACAAAACAAAACATTTCCAATAAAGAAATGTGACTATATAATTGGGGCAAGAAAATAAAGAAAGTCAGCTTATATAAATGGGCTGGAGGGGATAGTATGTGTGATAAATTTAAAATCACTTCACTCCATAATTTACTTTCTATTTTAAAATTATTAATTAAGCACATATGAATTGAGGGATTTGGGGATGGATCCTATTTTTGTAGTCAGGGTTTCGAATGTTGAGATTAAGGGATCTCGGGATGGAGTTTCAACAATTGATTTGGGATTTCTTGATTTCATATTTCTAGGCTAGGTGTATCGGGGTGGGTGACAAACACCCTTACCGGCCTCTCACAACACAGGGGGCCCACATTTTTTTTTTTGAATTTTTTATTCATGTGAGGCCAGCATGATGTGAGAGTTTGTCAACTTTTTTGTCAAATTATTTTTGTACAAGTAGGATAAATCTCTATGGAAAGAGATGCATTTAAGAGTTAAAATTTGGTCAAGGCTTGTTTGGCTGTGTGACGTGACTCTGATATGGCAAAACATTTAACATTTGGAAGGAGATAAGAGACAAGCTTAGATTTATATCCCCCATGTCAGCATTAACTGAGATGGAATTGACCAAGTGTGTAATGGACAATAACGGATCAAAGTTCGGTGGGTGATGGGTTGATTTTGTAAGTTCGGTGGGTAAACCACGACATATTGTAAAGTTCGATGGGCAATGAAACATTTAACTCTATTTTTCGTTATTATTGTTTTCCATCCAAAGTTCAATTGCAATTTTCACTCACGATTCACGGGTTGAAGATCATCTTTCATTCTGGGTAATTTCCACTTCATTCTGAATCAAGATCCATGAAGATAGTGAGATTATTCATGAGCATTTGGTTTCTCCCTATGAACTTTTGTACTAATATTTCTTTCAAGAAACACTCTCAAATTTCCATTAGTTTCTCCAATGCAACCTTCAACTGTAATTTCCAGCCATGTTTCGAAGCCTAAAGATCATTTCTTTCCATTTTGCATAAAGTTGAGAATATTTGTGAACGGGGGAAGAAAACAAACCCTCTCTATGAAAACTCAGTCTCGGCAATTTCACATATTATCTTATCCTCAAGCATTGTCATTCAACTTCACACATAAATACAAGCCTCATGCAATTTAACCGCTGGATTTCACAAGAACAAGGAGTCTCGACATATCCCACCTTCACTAGAGTTTGTTGATCGAAAGAATGAAATTTTGGAAATCTATTCAAAAAGCATTATTCCTTCCATCAACAACATGGCTGATAGGAAGGATAAAGCTCCTGACATGTATGTTTTATGTTCTGTCACATATCATGGGTAATCATGTGATAAGCGTCAATGTAGACTAGAACAAACTCTATAACGAGCTGATTTTGTTATATTAAATTAGGCCCAATATCATTTCTAATATGGTATCAGAGCAGGCCCAGTTTTGTAATGTTAGGTACACCCAATATCGATTTAATCACAATTGTTTGGCATGGTCCATGTTGTGCGTGAGGAGACATATTAGAGTCCCACATTGGTTGGTGATAATTACATTATACACTTAATAAGGTGAGGGAATATCATTTCTAATATGGTATCAGAGCAAACCCAGTTTTGTAATATTGGGTGCACCCAATATCGATTTGTTCACATGTGTTTGGCATTGTCCACGCTGTGTTTGAGGAGGCATATTAGAGTCTCACATTGGCTGGTGATATTTATACGATCCACTTAATAATGTGGTTGCAATCCTTCCATAACAAGCTGGTTTTATTAGGTTGAATTAGGCCCAATATCCTTTCTAATACACTTTGCAGTTCAATTTTTCGTTAATTTTGTTCAATCTGATTTGTGTCCAGCTGAATTTTATCTCATTTTTCGCATATCTAGGGTTTCTCCATTTCATGAATTCTAGGGCTTAAGATCTAGTTTTGATCTGTAATTTTCGTGTCCAAGAGCTATACTCGATCTCCTTTTTTTCTTTTTGGGTTTTGGTGTTATGTTGTTGTGGTATTAAGAATTCATTTGAGAAAATGTGGGGGAAAGGTGCGAAAGCGCCAATTAAGGATCGGACGCAAGAGTTTCTGGGCATAGCGGAGAAGGTAAACAAGTCACACTCCCCACAAAATGGGCTAAGTAGCAGTGGATTGAAACCTCGGGAGCTGCAGACGCCCATGGCGATGTAGTCAAAATTCAATCGTAAGGCATCGAAGATCGGGCTCGGGATTAGGGATGGCAATTTAAATTGTGAAAATCGAAAATTGTGGTTAACCGAATCGAATGGGGCG